TAAGAGGTAAGTACCTATCTTCCTGTTATTTGGCTGTTTGCTCAGTAGATATTACATACCCTACTTAAATTTTGAGCCTCATGATCACTGTAGTGAGGTGTGCAATGGATAACATATCAGCTCATTTTGTAAAGTTGTGCAAATAGCTGAGCACCTTATCAGGACAATTGAACTTGGCATGAATAAGTAAGTACAATTATTTTTAAAAAAATCAAGGAGGCTGACTGTAAAGCATGACTGTACAGTTCAGTACTGATATATGAACATTTTGTTTGATTATGCTATAAATTTACTTGAGGCAACAAAACAATTGTTTGCTGGGAGTCCTTGGTGAAGCAGGTAATATAATGAATTTTCTTCTCACCAGGTTTTTCCAGTGGGTAGACACCTGTGTGTGGTGGGGGGAGGGGTGCACAATCTTTTTTGGGGGGTTTTGAAGCCTTGCAACCCATGCTCACCTTTATATACTACTGTAATTAGATTTGTTTTACATTGAATTTCAGTGATTTTTACAACCTGTTCTCAAATCTCTGAGCTGTTGTGCTGCACACACATTACAAGCATGGAGTTTAAATGAATAACTCATGGTGCAAATGTAAGCCATTGTCCCTTGACCTCCTTAGAGAGGTAATCAGTTAATCTCATGGTAGATACCATTCTACAACAGTGTACTTTTTTTTTGCTTGGCCTGAAAAGAAAATCTTTAAGGTTGCTCATAATAAATTATGTAAGTAACGAAAGCCATAATTTTGTTGATTATAATGTAGAATTGATAGAATGAGTGGGCTAGACTTTGATAAGTGTGTCATTGGAGTAGACGTTGGAGGAACTAATACAGATGCTGTCATCTTGTATGGTGACCGCATACTGGGGTCAGCAAAGGAACGTACAACAAATGATGTGACGACCGGAGTCAAAAAAGCCATGAAATCTGCTCTAAAAGATGCAGAAAACACTGGTGAGATAACGCAGATATTAGGAATTTTTTTAATTAGATTAATAAATTAAATAAATATAAAACAAGATCTTTTCACAATAAAAATTTCTAAGCTTTCATGATGCCAATTTTGAAAATATAAACAAATTATAGTGATATATTAATAATAGTTAAATATATAAATACATAATGAAATTATAGTAAATATAAATATAAAATATAGTGCATTAACATCAAATAATGTGATAGGCAATGATATTAACCATAACAATTATAAACAATATATATATATATATATATATATATATATATGTATATATACCATTTATTTTATATATATATTATGTGGCTAATGCAATATTATCAAATATTTTTATTATTTTACACACAAAATTTTACAAACACTGAAGGGGACATTCAAAATGTCTTAACAACAAATTTACCTATAGTATAATTTTTTGATTTTTTTTCCTCCCAGGTAGTTACTCAATAGCTCAAGTTAACATTGGTACTACACATTTCGTCAATGCTGTCGTACAACGGCAAGGCTTAGCGAAAGTTGCCGTCATCAGGTTATGCGGGACAGCTTCCAAGGCCTTACCGCCGTTCAGTGACTTCCCCGATGATCTTCGCAAGGTAAAGCAGCTGCTGTCTATAGCAACACACAGCTGTAAAATTAATTTAGTACTGAGGAAAAAAAAGTAGTTTTTATCCAAAGACAGCCTTTTAAAAAAAGGAAATTAATGACCATCTCCTTCAGAAATTTAAACTTAAGGTCATGAATTTTTCCTCTGCATCGAAGCCATATATCACTCTTATGATAGCTTATGTACAATCACAAAGATTTAGCCAAAATATTTATTGATAGGTACACAAGCAATACAAACATACAAACATAAAATATAGAATATATTCTTCACACTTTTTCGCTCAGTGGAGTATTTAAGACCTAAGTTTATTTATACAACTTTACACCACGACCTTTAATAAACTAGGCATTTTTTCCCCTCATTAGCGAGTGGAATAGATATATTGTAGTCTTTTTTATTATGAAAATGATTTGTTATTATTGATTACCAGGTTATTGAAGGACCTACCTATTTGGCAAATGGAGGATTCCAAGTTGATGGTCGGCCAATTACAACTGTTGATGAAAGTGAGATAAACCGCTACACTGAGGATATCAAAGCTAAGGGACTAGTCCATATTGCAGTCTGTGGGGTATTTTCACCTGTAAACCAAGAGCAAGAAAACCTGGTATGTCTACACACGAATATTGAAAGCGATACTAAGGCAAAATCTTGTTTTATGCCTTGTTTAGCGAACCAATCACCAATAATAATGATTTTAAATAAAAATATAATTTAATTCTTGGTCAGTTACTGTACCATGCGCCACAAAAAAATGGAAATTAAAAAAAAAAAATTTTTATTAAATTTTATTATGCCCTCCACTCACCTAAAATCTAAAAAAAATAAGATATATATTTCTTCATTAATTATATAAATTTAAAGCATTTATCAATCTCAATACTGCACTGTTTACATTCATCAATAACGTTTTATCTTAATTTTCTCTTCTGCCTAGATGCCTTTGGCAAATCATTTTGCTAATTAAGAAAACACAATTTTTAAATTTGTTTCCGCCCTCCTTATGGTCTTAAAAAAAGAACAAGTTCACTAAAAAAGCAAGTCCCACATGTTATTTGGTTTTAAATTGAACTCTATTTATAGTATCGTTAGTCAAAATTCTATTTATAGTACTTAAAATTAAATTATTTATTCATTATTTTTTAGAATTTAAATTTTTATAACAGTAATTATTATTATTTTATTTTTAATATCGCATAGGTTGGTGAGATAATTATGAAACATTTTCAAGATGCAGAAATCACATATTCTCATAGAGTTGGACAGATGGGTCTCTTAGAACGTGAGAATGCTGCTATTCTTAATGCATCCCTGAAACCTCTCTGCCAACAAACTTTGCAAGCATTAGCAACAGCGTTGCTGGATATCGGATTAACATGCCCTTATTATTTGACCCAAAATGATGGTACAATTAAAAGGTAAGCATAAATAGAAAATATAAGTTGATTTCTCTACTTCTATTGATAATTGGTTATTTGCTGGTATCTACTGTTAACTATATTATAAAGATTGTATTTTGTTATTATTATTATTAATAATTCATAATTAATGGTAATTTAATGAATTAAGGAATAAGCATTTTTATGATTAATAATAATGTTTAGCATATTTATTTAATTAAATATCTATCTTACCATAGTTTGTCATTTTTGTATTTTGTTAAAATAATTCATAATTTATAAGTATTGCATGCTAAGCCTAAATGTAAGAATAACATAATCATACAAATATAACATTTTGGGGTTTTTTTTATTACTAGTATCTATTGTTAAGCATACTATATCATCATTTGATTTTTTTTTGTAATATAAAATAATTCATAATGTAATACTAGGCCAAATCATTACCAAACATTGTCTGTAAACTTACTCACTTGTTGTGGTTTTTACAGTGCAGAACAGACTAAGAACTTTCCTGTTCATACGTTTTCATCAGGCCCTACCAATTCCATGAGAGGTGCTGCTCTCCTCTCAGGTAGGCCTGCAATTGTTTTCTGAAAAAATACTGTCTAGTTTAAGTCTCCTACCAAATTTTCTTCCAGTGTATATTTTTCCTCTTTCCTCTTGTCTAAGCTCCTTCCTGTTCCTAAAGACCCATCTTTGTTATTTTCTCAATAAACCACTCATCATTCTTATAGTTTTAATATTATGATCACCATTTTATCAGTCTGTTATGGTTGGGGTTTTGAAATAATTGCATAGTGGAGAGGGGGAAGTCAGCAGTTTGAATGATACAAAGGGTATAAGGGAAGTATTGATCAGCTGAGGGAAGGATGGTGGATTTGTGTTTAGCCATCCATGATTAGGTTTACAACAAGTACCTGGACAAGCATTTTGGAATTTGGTTAAGTGATGAAAGTCATTCATTGTCAAATTTAGCTAGTTTAATGAGATCTTGTAGATGCAGATTGATAACCAGGGCTGCTAGCACAAACCTCTATCCATTCTCATTTCTGCCTATGGCAACTTCATTCGTCAAACAGAGTTTTTTATATACATGAAATGCACTGTTTTTATTTTTATAGTTGCTAATTTTGAGCTCATATATATTGTAAGATAGGCATAAAATGTTCTTTTGATAATTTCTTCACTTACCTCTTCACTGATTCTTTGTAAATTCTTTTACTATTAGTACTTTTTTAAAGTGTAACAAAATAAAAATTAATTTGAACAAATGAAAGAATTTGAATAAATGTATTAAAAAGATCTATATTGGTTGGTTACAGGCATAAAAAATGCGGTAGTAATCGACATTGGTGGGACAACAACTGATATAGGATGCTTGAGACATGGCTTCCCTCGTGAGGCGTCCAGTCATGTCCAAATAGGAGGCGTAAGTACCAAGCTTCGGATGCCGGATGTGATGAGTATCGGCCTTGGAGGAGGATCTAAGGTGGTTTTCAACAGAACAGAAGAGGGTGATATTGTAAGTGAATAGTTTTGAATAAAATATTCTACAGTAGTTACAATTTTGTTATCTATTTTTGTTTATATATCTGTGGAAAAATTTAGTAGCTTCGGTTTTTGTTTATAAAAATTATTTTTATATAAATGAAAGATAGACATTCATATGAGGGCCACAGAAAGAATGTCCTTTATTGGAGGTGGTTTTTAATTGGATGGGTTTTTATATTGGAGGTGTCTTTGATTAGAAGGAGACCTGTATTTTGGTTTTTTAGTGTTATTTTTTTTTCTACCATTAGCCCAATTTGTTATTCGTGACCCTATGAGACCTTCAATGTATATTCTGTTAAATTCTAGGTTCTTTTTTTTCATTTTTTATTGTGAAGCCCAATTTCCATTCTTTATTTTTCTTTGTGTAATTTTGTAAAGTTGAGGTTCACAACTATTTCAATTGCAGACAGAATGTAAAGTCGGTCCAGAGAGTGTTGGGTATAAATTGGCCAAAGAAGCCTTGGTGTTTGGTGGCACCACACTGACCACTACTGATGTAGCTGTTGCTGCTGGACTGGTCAAGCTTGGAAATAGGCAAAAAGTGGAAAACTTAGAGGAAGACAAAGTCTCAAAAGTAATAGAAGTTATGAAAGATATGATTGAAAATGTTGTGGATCAAATGAAAGTAAGTAAAATAAATATAACACAAATGAAAGATAAACAGTTTATTATTATTATTATTATTATTATTATTATTATTAAAATATTTTGATTTTAACACTCATTTTGATTAGATTGCAAATTCCATTGTCATTCTTCATTTTTTATTTCAGTTGAGCAAAGAAGACTTGCCATATGTTTTAGTCGGTGGAGGCAGTATTTTGTTAAATGAAAATCAACTTTTAGAGGGCGCTACAACAGTTATCAAACCACCTCATTATCAGGTAATTAATCATTAGAAGCAGGTCATGAAAGTGCTCATATCATGGCTGTACAACAGTTTCTGATTCTGTTGACATTATTTTTAATGGTGCTTTTCTTTATATATTGTTATATGGGTATGGGGAAGTAAGGTAACATCCTGCTGTGTCTTTTCCTATTGGTCTGTCACAGATCATGTGACAGCAGTGATGATGATGTGCAGAGGGAGTTTATTATTAAGCATGAAATAATCACTTTTGTTTGTGAATTTCATTTTTTTTAAATTATAGGATACAAATCATATTTATAAAATGATTAAATTATCAGGTTGCTAACGCAGTCGGTGCTGCTCTGAGTCAGGTCGGTGGCGTGCGGGATACCATTGTAAATCTAACAAACATCAGCCGAGAAGTTGCGGTTGAAGAAGCGAAGAAAGCTGCAATTAACGAAGCTGTTAAGAACGGTGCTGACATCGATACAGTTAAGGTAACAGAAAAACATATCATAGGCGCATGAACATCACCAAGCTATTTGTTAGGTTTATCAAGAATTCTTCATAAAAGAAGCATGAATTAATGCTTTATATGTGGTTTATTCCTTTAAGTTAGAAGGAAACTGGTGTATTTTTTTCAAACATTTTCTTAGGTAACTGAAGTAGAAGAGATCAGTCTCACCTACATATATGGTTGCACACGTATAAAGGTTAAAGCAGTCGGCGACTTGATGCAAACACAGCATGTGGTGGGGAGCCCTCAGCCCACACATACTCCTCCATCAGAGGTAGCAACTGACATGCAAACAACTGAAGGTGAATCGCTGATAAAAGTACCAAAAGTGGATCCTGGAAAACAACATGATATGTCAGGTATTTTAGAACCATCGTTATATATTATTATTCATACATGTAATCATTTCATTTGTAATAGAGGGGTGGCTGTTCTCATTCTGAGTGACAGAATTGTTAAGCAAGTGTCGTGTAAAAACCAAATACAGTATTAAACAGAGTACTCACTTTGAATGTTTCAAATTGGATTATCACAATTTTTATTCGCTGAAGAGTTGTTATACACTCTGGTCTCCTTGAAATAGATGGTGTTGTAGCGCCCGGTCTGGCAAAACTATTCGCTCATGAAATTGAGAATTCCTGGTCTCTGTTCGTTATCAATCTTTTTGCCTCCTTTGAGAATGACTTTTTTTCTGCTGTTATTTTTTGGCTAATTTGCTATAATACAGTGCCAATTTAGTAAGTGATTATTTTGTGTGGTATAGTCTGTAGTAGCAGACTTATGTTGACTTGATGACACTGATTATCCTCTGTATACAACTGAAAATTCTTCTAACAGCTTCATCTTTTACTAGATAACAAGAAGGAAGATGCATCCCTGCCAGCTGTTGACAAGGAAACAGGAGAATGGCATTTATCTGAATATGACATTGAGTGTATAAGTGTTGGTGCCGGAATCTTGGGATGTGGAGGAGGTGGCAGCCCTTATCTTGGACGCCTCCATGCCATGAAACTCCTCAAGCAGGGAAAGAAAATCAGAGTAATTGCTCCAGAGAGGTAAACTAAAGGGAAAATAGAATAGAGTATTATAATATGTTAAAGAATTCAGAAATTTCTCTTTTATTATAATCCTCAAATTAACATTAGTTATTTGGTTTAATATTTTACCTCAGTGCCACGAAAAAGATTTTTGACTTGAATTTGTAGGTTGGGAATCGGGAAGGTTGCTGTTTGCGGATTTATGGGAGCACCTGGGGTGATAGCGGAGAAGTTGGTTAGTGGCGAGGAGATGATCAATGCAATACATTGTCAACAAAGTCTGATAACAGCTTCAAATGAAGGGTCATGGAATACCAAAGGTTAAATTATCTTTAATATGTAATATATAATCGCAAACACATTACACTAATTTTAAATTAACATTAACAGGGGCGTAGGCTGGTTTTGGCCTTGGGGGTGTGAAACGGCCTTAGGGGTGCGAACATTTAGAATACGGAACTAAATCCCCATTCTAATGAAACTTAATGGCAAGTTTTAGTATTTTAACCCTTTTAGGGAGTAAATTTGCCGTCAAGAGTGGGTCGGAGGGAGGATGGGTGTGGGCAAACTAAAATACAATTAATATCAATTATATTAACTTATGCTGAGTAAAAATGTAAAAGTATAAAACTATAGCTTTATAAAAATATTGAAATTTTAGAAAATAGATAAATTCAATTTGTCATTATAAATTAACAAAAATCTACTTTCAATATTTTAGATATTGATATCAAATCCGGAGATGGAATTAAGTACATAGAAGATTACTGCGCTCATAAGTCCGGAGAAGAGTTGGTTTGTAATGCAGCAGATAAAATAGTTGGTTTGATGAGTGCTGAGATTGGAGGGATGAACGCTATGGAACCCCTTGTGATTGGTGGACTCCTTGACCTTCCAGTGGTCGACTGTGATGGCATGGGTCGTGCTTTTCCTGAACTACAGGTCAGAGGTCAACATATTAATTTCTGAAATATTAAAAACATCTGTTAGTTCAGCAATAATGTTATAAAGGAAAAAGACAATTAAAGTATATTATCTTTCGAGATAAGTCTATAATGTAAGATACTGTTGAGCATATTATTTTGGACAATTATATGGTTATTCATTTATCGTTGATATTATATAATTAATTAATTTTAAGTTTCTATTAATTTCTATATCATTTAATTTGATTATTTTTTCAAAGACAAATCTTATTTGATAACTAATGTGAGGGGCCATTAAATTTATGAAAATTTTAATTTCTTTTACATTTAAAAATGTTTAAAATTCTTTTTCTCAGATGTTTGTTCCTTCAATATATGGGAAGTCTTTGGTTCCAAGTTGTCTGGTTGATGATAAAGGACAGCGAGCCGTGATACTGGAGGTAGAAGATGCAAAGAAGCTTGAGAACCATTTCCGCCAAACAACTATTTCCATGGGGTAAGCTTACTCAAGTCAACTGACATTAAGCAGTGTATCTAAGACTACTGACCTGACAAATTTTTCCCCATTAGACAGGCCTGCACCCTCCTGCCGTTCAACGCACGACTAGGTCGACGGATCAAAAATTTAAAAAAAATAATAATTTGCCTATCAAAATAACGTTTATTTTGAAAGCCCTAATATTGTGGTCTAAAAGAACATTTTGGACCATACTAAGCCATAAAAATTCTCCTCTTAAACCCTACCAAGTTTGGTAGTTAATATGCCTATTTCCCATTCCCAGGTCCTGGGTTCAAATCCTGCAGTGTTTATGTAGTGGAGCTGTAGTTTGGTGGTTAAGATGCTTGCCTTCCATTCCCAGGGTTCTGGGTTCAAGTCCTGCAATGTTGATGGAATGGAGCTGCAGCTTGGTGGTTAAGATGCTTGCCTTCCAATCCCAGGGTCCTGGTTCAAATCCTGGGACACCAAGATTTGATACTCAACAAAATCAACTGCACTCCCTAGAATAATAAAGAGACTTATTTAAAGAGCACAATCCCATCCTGTAATTGGTGAGCTGTTGGATGAGAACAAAATTAAAGATAATACTATATATTATAATAATATAAATATATATAATATAATATTTATTTAGTTTTATGTTCTTCGTTGTTCTTTATGCAGTTGCTCAGCTGCAGTAAGTTTTAATCCTCTCAGCAAGCAAGAGATTTTGGATAAGAGTGTCCTATATTCATTGAGTAGAGCTCGTAACCTTGGGGACAAAGTTTTATCTGCTACATCATCACCTCTGGAAGCTATTCTGACGCAAGAAAATGGAACCCTACTGATAATTGGCAAGGTTGTTACTACAGTTTTTATTTATTAATACTAAACTAGATTTATTAATATTAAAATACATATTTATAATATTTTTGATATATTTATTAATGTCTCACTTCATTAACTGAGCAGCTTGTTCATTTAAAAAAATTTATATTTTGTTTGTATTTTCGGCATGATTTGTGGTCTGAATACTGTCAGCGCCTTAAAATGATTTTATTTTGGAAGGCGCCCTACAAATATCCTACAATTTCCATTAATATTAATTATATATCTATTAATATTAATGATATATTGTCTGTTAATAACCTCAAAATTAATTTTTAATATTTAAATGGCTCACTTTTTATATTTAAATAAATTAATAGCCCTCAAATGAAATTTGAAATGACGAAATATTATGCTTGCCACTAATAGCAAATGTATAAATAATATATCAAATCAAGTCATTATATTCTTTTCGTAGTCTACTAAATTCGCTATTACAGCAGACTGAACTGTTGCCATCTGTGTGTCATTCGAAATAGTGGCAAATCTAATGAGGAGTGTGGACACTTCCTCCCAGAGTTTAATTCTCTCTTTAAGCACCTCCTCCCTACCCCTGAAATCATCAGCAAAAAAAAAAAAAAAAACCAAAAAAAATTACACTCAGGTAGTAATTAAAAATCACTTCATATCACAATTATTTTTCAGCTTGTACAGGCCACTGCCACTTTTCTATCATGCCCCCTCCTCCCCCATTTCAATACTCCTGGTACATATCTAGGTTAGAAGTTTCCCACACAAAAAAAAATATACGAGCGGTACTGGGTAAAGACAACTTGATTTATTGCTTCGAACAAGGTATCCATTTGTAGAAGTCTAATGAAGATAAGATTATCCAATAGTGACGTTAAAGGGTCGAATTCAATGTCGAATTTATGAAATGTGTAGGCTGCCGGCACCTTGACCGCTGATGATTAGTGCCTAAAAATGTTCACAAAAGCATGCTTTTGTTTCTTTCTTATTCTTTTTTCTTCCTATGCTTCTTCCATATTTACATTAAATTTAATTTATTTTCCTTAAAATAACATATGCATAATGTATGTAATGAGTGTATGTGCGTATATGTGTGTGTATATGTATATGTATGTGTGTATAGATATATCATTTTGATAAATAATTACATATTGTAACTGGACTCCTAGGCCTATATATACATTGTGTCTGTACAAACATTGGATTATGACATCATCATGCCCATATATGGGCACTTCACATGTATTTGTCACATACAATTTCTAGTGTGGACATAGCTTTATCAGTGAATGTGTGAAACAGACTTTATTTTCCAATAATTAAGTAATTATACAATACGGAACTCTCTAATCTTACCAGGTTTCTAACGTTGTACGAATAAATAAAGGAGGATTCGACAAAGGAAATGTAACTATTGAGGGCGCTTTAGAGTGGAGTGAATGTACATTCAGCATTGAATTCCAGAATGAAAACTTGTTGGCAAGAATGTCTTCAAGTCAAGTCAAAGAGAAGGTACGTTAGACCTACAATTAGATATTTTTTAATTTTTTTTTTTTTATTTGATTTATTCAGATTTATGAAATATGTTCTTAAGATACAAAACAGACAACAAATAAACATAACAGATCATGTCACAAAAGAGCATATTGTGGATAAACCTAAAATTGCATAAAAAGGTCAACTACATTAAGTGATGTAAAATGAAGACTTAATTAAGCAAAACTTTTAAGAACAACATTTAACAATAGAGTATGAAGCCTGTATGTTAAAATATTGATAATAATGTTTGTTGCATGGTGTATTTTGTATTTATATCTTATATAAAATAATTGAATTAATGTACAGTATATTTTTTCTCATATATTATGAATATTTTTGACTAAAATAAGAACTTCAAGTTAATTAGAAGCTGCTATTATTATTGTATCAATATAAAATGCTGCTAATAATACAGTATTCTTTAATTATACAACTTTTTTAAAATTTTAGACTGTTGCCACGGTTCCTGATCTTATTTGTATTGTAGACTCGGACAGTGGCCAACCTATTCCAACTGATGAAATACGCTATGGACTGCGCGTTGCGGTTCTGGTAATACCAGCAGCTCCGTGTCTTAAAACTCAGCAAGCATTAGAAATTGTTGGACCGAGAGCATTTGGTATCCAGGAAGACTTTCTACCAATTGGATCTTACAAAACACCTTTATCAATTCCTATGAAATAATAAAGTGTTGTTATGTTGCTTTTTTTATGTTTATGTTTCCATATTCCATTATTTGCTTGTTTATATTTTTTATTCAGGAAGACTTTCAACCAATAGGATCCAGACGCGGATCCAGGATTTTCCCTGACCTTCGCACAGATAGGGTGATCCTTGCTGTGGTAGATCCAGGAAATAGAATTAGAGGGGGCCCAGAGAGCTATCTTCGCAGATAGACACCTCAGCCCCACAGTGGTTGGGGCTGAGGTAAGACAAATTAGATGGCCAGAAATGGCACTCTCAGAATTTGAATATATTTTTATATAATTTTTTTCTGCATTCTTAAAAATAATTTTGAAATATTTACAGGGGCCCAGGCCAGCTGGGTTCCCCTTGAATCGGCTACTACATGGGGGAATCCCCTAACTCTAGGTGATCTACGGTTTTAAAACAAATATTTCTAATTACAGCATTTCTATAAGAAGATAAACAGATTCTTTAAACTACAAGGAAGTTTTAAACAATAATTAAGCCAAATATATTTTCATTCGTTTTGTTGTTCATGTGAATCTTTGATTGGTTATTACCTTAAAACAATGCTAAAAACACACAGTGTCATTTTTAGTGTTGGGTTAATTACACTGACTACATTAATATAAAATAAGGTATAGGGCACTGCCGCTGAAATCAAACCAAATTAATTTTTGTTAATCTGTATAATTAAGTAAGTTCAAAATAAGTGTGAAGTATGATTGTTGTAAAAATGGTCAACATTTTATTTTTATTTCTCACCTTGACCTTTGCCATGCGAACGGAGCGAGGGTCTGGATCCGCACCTGGGATTTTCAATTTACAAAACAGCTTTATTAATTCCTATGGAATAGTAAAGCGTTACATTATGTTCATTTATTTTATGTTTATGTTTCCATATTACATTTAACTTGTTATCATTTATATCCAGAAAAAACTTTCAACCAGTAGGATCTTACAAAACACATTTATTATTTCCTATGAAATAGCAGGGGTGGATTTAGGGGGGGGGGGG